AAATTTTCGTAGAAAATTTTTTTTCTTTTTTTTTTTTTTTGAACAAAAAAACTTCCGTTATCGAAACAATAAAAACAGGTATTTCGAATAAATTTTTGGAAAGAAAGAATTTTTTGGCAAAATTAAATTAAAATATTAGAAATTGATTTAAAAGAGAGAGAGAAAGAGAGAGAGCTTTTGAAATAAAAACGATCATTGTAAGGTTCAAATCAACCAACCAAACATTTTTAACTTTTTTTGCTACAAAAAATCTCCTCAATTACTAATGTTATGCTATTTTAAAATAGCGAAAATTTGCATATCCCAAAATAATACTATTATCATAAGAAGACTTAAATAAATAAATTCTTAAAAAGTAATGATGAGTTATAATTTGTGTAATAATATGAGTATATAATTGGTTATATTAAACTTATCATCATTTTATATTTGTTTTTCTAATGACAAATCATCATTTAAAAATGTAAAAAGAGGAATCATTTTATCTTTTATGTTCCTAATATTTATCACTAAAATGGAAACGAAATTTTTTATCAGATTTGAATTTGTTATTCATTCAGTACATCGAAAACATCTGTTATGAAATTAAAATAAACATTGAAATTTTTAGTCTTCATTTTTCATCTCTTACCAAAAAAAAAAATGTTATATTTGTTCGTATTAATGATATTAATATATAGTGCTGATTTTTGTTAATCAATTTTTTTTTTTTTTTGTCAAGTATTATCGATTAAAAATGTCCGTTTTAAACTACTATAATATAAGTTTCTATTTTAATAATCTCTAATAATGCTTATGATAAGGTAAGTAATCCATAAATAACTTTTGATTTATAGCAATTTCATCGTTTGCAATGAGAAATTCCGTAAAAAGATACGGTAATGGAAACAATTAATTTTAATAAAATGAAAATGAAATTAAAAAATAGGAAAAGTTGTAATGGATTATGATTTTTGAGGAAATGTAATTCAATAAGGAAGTAAAAAAAAAAAAAAAAAAAAGAACCATCGTTTAAGGACTTAAACTAATCTATCCGGAGATCTTTTCTCATTTTCTGCTCACATAACTTCGGCGACAAATGTTCTAAAGACATCATAATTAGTTGCTATTTCAAGAACGGGTAATAGCTACAAATTATGACATAACGGAAGTTTGATAAAGACATCTAATTAATGCAAGGGAATGATATTTTAAAAAAAAAAAGTATATGCTTTTTCAAAATGCATTTTGTGAACTGAAATTGGAATTTCGATATTTGTTCAATTTGTGGGAATAATGAAGAAGAAGTTTAGTGATAATGGGAATTATTGATTACCTTATAAGACAAACAAGGAGTATTCAAAAAATTATGCTACTTAAAAGCTTAAAGAATGCCTTTAAAAGTATATAAGAAAAAAAGAAAAGATGAATTACTTATTATTTGCTGCTTGCTTATTAATTATTATGAAAAAGATTTAAAAAAAAAAAAGAATTTGTTATAAGATTTGATAATTTTCAATAAATGATTGATTTAATAGGAAATTAAATTATCAAAAAATAGAAAGAGTTCATTGAGCATACAGAAAATATTGTTAAACATGAAATTTATCATTAAAAAACTCAACAGCATACCGAAATTTTCTTTCTTTTCATTGAGAAAAGAAAGAAAATAGGGAGGAAGAGAGAGAGAAAAAAAAAGAAAAACAGACAAAAAAAACAAACAGCGGGGTTGACCGATGTGACAATTACTACATGAACCAGCTTTATTTCGTCTTTTCTTGATATACTATCTCTTCTTTTATTCTTTTCCTTTTTTTTTTTTTTTGTAATAAGAATTTGTAAATAAATTTATGAGAAATGATAATATGGATTGATATTGATTATATCATAACTATCAGGATAGCTATTTAGTAGAATAGCTATGAGAAATAACATGATAAAAAACAAAACAAAAAAAAAAAAAAAATAGTATGGGAAAAAGAAAAAAAAGAAACATAGTTTATATTACACTAATGAAAATATTAGATATATCATTATAAATATCAAGAAAATTCTCAGAACTTTTTATGATTATTTATGTTAACATATCACTTCTTGAATAAATAATGATAATAACTATACTGATAATTTGAATAAACAGCTGAACCAACTTTATTTCGTCTTTTCTTAATATACTATCTCTTCTTTTATTTCTTTT